ACACAAAGTCAACGAAATGTTGACCGCCGTTAGGTTGACCGTCAAATCTAACAATCAACTAAATGAGGGAGGACAAAATTGACATGAGCACTATAAACTTTGGGACATAAGTGACACGGTAAAAACTTAGGGGTACAAGTGACCCAAACTCTAAACTATAGGCCCTTTTCTGGTATTAGGCCTTTATGTTTAATGAGTACATAATCTTTTGCAGCTCACTTCACTCCAAACCCTTTTTTTTTTTATCTTTTGTGATAGATTTCTATGAATAGTTTTGAAAAAAAACTGTTTTGGCCTTTAGGACAACCATGACTTGTAAACTTAAGCAAATTTTACTCAGAATTTGTTGGGGTTCCAATTATACTACAAACAGTCTGGTCAAGTCGAGTACATTAATAACCACCATAACGTAGAAGCATCATATAAAATCAAGAACCAAAAATGCTAAAATAGTACACCGGTCATCATTATACAATTGGCTAGTGGGCTAGTGACCACACAATAGTTAGTACGCGGCCTAGTTGGGCTTTGTCGGCAACCTGTTAACCTTTAAAATCTTTAATTGAGTTTTGGCCTCACTTGATTAAGTTGGTTTGTCAGTTTTTTAACAAGCCCTAATGCACCTGGGCCGTTTGGGCCCAATCAAAATGGGTTACTAATTGGTCCAGTTGATCTTACTAGAAAGCAAGGTTGTCAAACTGGTTTATACCATTGTACCGGTTAGCGAGGGAAATGATACGACCAATGGTACAACCGATTTGTGTCGGTTCATGCCGGCTTAATAAAAGATAACATTCCAAATAAAATAACAAATACTCATATTTAAATGCAATATTTAACGTCAATACTTAAACGTTTATACCTCAAACCAACAAATTACATTAACTTTTAACTTACATATGTAATTTTTTTATTTTTTATTAATTACATTCGCTAAAACGATTTTATTTTGGTTAGACATTGTAAATCGATCATACAAGTCATACCGGTGGTGTTCATGTCGATCATGAAACCGCCATCACACTTCACAAGTAAATCAAACAACAATAAGTTAACTGTGTAACAACATATAAACATTATTTGAATGTGTGATCAAAGTAAACCTGAAAGAAATATATCCCAATGGACACTAAGGGGTCGTTTGCTTGAGGGTTTTGGTGATGGATTTGGTCATGGAAATATATTCATCATGGACTTGAACCAAAATCATCTTGTACATTATTATTTGATTGATTGTCGGATTCCACATCGGTGAGTTAGCAAGAAGATGATGAGTTGTAGCAATAAAGCGAGCAATTGATACATAATATTGCGTACATTATTAGATGAATTGTTAATTAGTGCCAAATTGTAATACATTTCTATATTTGTAGTTGAATTATTAATCCACATAGTGGTAAAGAGTTTAAAATTTCTTTCTATGTTTTGGATTAGTTTTAAATGAAAGATTTGGATTAGAATATAGAAATATAATTAAATAAGGGTAACTAGGTAATTTGTATTTAATATCCACAAATCTAATCAAACAAAGTCCATAATCAAATCCATCAAGCAAACAATAGACTTGTTCAAATCCATAATGCCACCAAATCCATCATATATCCATGGTTTTCCAAAACCCAGGTTTTACCAAAACCCTCATTTTTCAAATTCACGAAGCAAACGACCCGTAACTATAACGTGCAGTTCGATGGAGAACTTGTTGGGTTGGATCCAAACGGTGTCGGATCCTACTAGACTCTCCCAGTGGCGAAGCCAATGCATAATAAGGTGGATCTCGGAACTTATTATATATATATATATATATATGGGGAGTTCTACGGTACCCCGGGTGAAATTCGGGGTATCGCATACCTTAAGTAAGAAAACGCTATCCAGAACTTGAATTGACTGATGTTTCGGACATGATAATATACTCTAACCGTTAAAGATCAAAATCTAGGTCTTAATTCTCTAAATCTTATACCCCAAGATCAATTTAATTAGAAACAATAATCGACGGTTATGATTCGTCCAAATATAGGGGAAAAATCAATGCACCATCTTAGGGTTTATAGTTTATGATTTAGATAATTAGGACCTAGGGTTCACTCATTAAGGGTTAGGGTATAGTATCATGCCCAAAAATCCTGCTAATACGAGGTCTAGATAGCGTTTTCATACTCAAGGTATGCGATACCCCGAATTTCACCCGGGGTACCGTAGAACTTCCCATATATATATATATATATATAATTTGACAAATAAATAATTAATCCAAAATAAACAAAGTAATTCTATTTATTAAAATAATACGCTTATTTATAATTGCATCTGAGGTCCCTAATTCAACCGAGAGAAAATAAAAGACAAATAAATTTTGTCATTTTTTTATATGCCGCATAATCTCTCCGTTCTTCCCATAAGAGGAATTGGGCCGTCGATGAAATTGTTCCTCCAACATCAACTCGATGTCGCAGTTAGATTACTTCCGCGTCGTGTCACCGATCCAATAATCCCTTATACATAATTGAAGTCTGCTTGTTGATTGATGAACTGGACGAGGAGCGAAGCTCCAAAGTGGCCGGCGCCGACGGGAATGGCGGGAGTTGAGACGGCAAGTCGAAGAATGCAGAGCAACATCCTATCGGAATGACCGAAAAGAATCATGAAACCTTACCTAAATTGATTTATACACCTTGGACAAACAACAGAAGATTAAATTGAAATGGATTTGTCCGTTGCGTTATGGAATTGTGCTGCTGTCGGAGGTACAGAGTGGCCACTGGACAGCCCTCTTGCGGTCCCGAGTTAGTATAGTACGTATGAATTTTTCGATATTAGGTGTTCGGTCTAGTGCTATTTAAATTCGGTCCAGTATTATTTGATAAATAAGATTTTGTGTAACTTGAAAAATAGTATAGATGAACATATCCAAACCACTACTCTCAATTTAGACTAAAAATTCTAGCCCAAATAATTTTCATTTGAAAAGAATAAAATGAACAATGAAACTTAAAAGTCTTACTCGTAAAACACTAAAAGTAGAAAGTTTCATCGAAATAAAAATCTCTAAACAAAACCTCAAACTCTCTGTCAAAATCCAAAAAATTCCTCCAATTCCAAATTTTTTTTTTAGAACAATGAGACGAACGACCCGAAACGGATTCCTTCGCTAGTTCGTCAGGAGCTGTTTTTCTTTCCAGTCTTTTGATGAAGAAAATGTTAACAAACTTGTTGAGTCATCATTTAAATTGCTTCAGTTGAGGGGTTCTCTAGATCGTAAAAGTTATTTCTGATTTGTTATGAAGAAAATATTTACAAACTTGCTCAAAAGTTTATCATCGAGATTTCGAAGGCTATTAGATGCATTCTTTGAAGAATGATGTACGATATTATACCGCTCATGTGGTTCATAGCCAGGAATTTGAAGTTTCTTCTCTTGCAAACTTACTAGAGAAGCTGGTGGAAACAAGGATGGATACACACTACACATTGATTTGTCGGTTGATTCGTCTAGTGTTAACCTAGCTCGTTTCTACGGCTACTACGGAGAGAATATTTTCAATAATGAAACATGTGAAACTTATTTAAGCAACAAAATGAGCGATGAATTTCCCGCAGATTGCTTAACTATTTTCTTTGAGAAAGAGTATGTTATTGTTATGGATGAAGATTCAATTATTTTATGAATTCGCTAAATTAAAAGATCATCATGTACAATTGACATTGTAATGAAAATTATAGCTATCATTTTTTTAATGGTTTCTAATTTTCTATTCAAATGCGGCCCAGTGCTCTACTATATTCTGGACCCGCCGCTGTTGGAGACGGGGACCACAGATGAAGAGAAAGCATGATAAAGAATTGGATTGCCGCAAACGGATCGCGATCGACAAGAAATTGAACTAAAGGCCTAGCCATGTAACCTGAAACAAATTTTAAAGCAAGAGTGCTTTATTTGTCAACCTTACTAGTATGCACTGAAAAAATGGTTTATGGGTTTCTTAAATTTGGTAACCGACCTCTGGCTTAACAGTTAAGCCCGTGCGTTTTACAAAGCCATTGAAGCTCTTGGTCTCATTTAATCCAGCTAAGCCAATAAACAAATTCTTAATTCCAATTTCTATGAATTCTAACGCCAACAACGAGTTCGTGTAGCAAGAAGCTGAGTCGGACAGCTAGCCAGAGTGCGACGGCGATGGAGTGATTCCCCTGCTGAAAGTTTACCGGAAACAGAGTAGCAATTGGATTTGTTGCGGGCTTAAGGGAGAAGGTTTGGAGAGATCGTTCTGTTGTAGAAGGTATTTCCTTTTTCAGAATTCGAGTGGAGCAATCAGAAACCCAAGACGAATCGCCGAGTGACGGGAGAACCTACATTTGACGAAGAGTTGTTCTCTGCAGGGCGGCGACGGCTGGATTGGTGCGCTGGGATGGATTAGTGGTGGAGGACGACGATGCCAGGCAACTGGAATTAATCGACAGTGGAAGAGGGATAAAGAATCGGGGAAGAAGAGGGTTTGGGGTCTAATGCAATTATTAATATGTTTAAATTCTTTTAATAAATATAATATAGTTAATAATTAATTATAAATTCATCAAATTATCGGAACCGTTAGATGCAATCAATGGATAAGATTAAACAGAAGAGTGAGTGCATTTAGTGCACCCAAAAAAGTGGGTGCACCGAAGACATCACCATATATATATATATGGCAAAGGCTAGCGTACGTCCGGGCGTACGCTAACCTACCGTACGCCCCATTGAGTTTTGCTATTTAGACAAAGAATTAATTGGAGTTTGGGACATGATACTATACCCTAACCCCTAATGGGTGAATCCCAGTCCCCAATTCACTAACCCAAAGCATGAGATTCGTTTAATCTTAAAAATGAAAATCAATGATTCTGATTCGTCGAAATTTTCATTGGTTTTCATTTTATATTAACAAATATTTCTTGTCCAAATCCTCTTCATGTTGAAACTTGGTAGCTTCCTTATATCATAGTAATAAGTTGAACCCCAATAAATTATTATATATATGATGTGGAGATAGACTAAATAAAATTCCTAACCGTTTTTAAGATCATGATAATTCGAGTGAAATGGTACAACAACAAGTGATATTACTACTAAACCAAATCACAATTTCTCGGTACTTTTACTTAAAAAAATCACAAACCTCTAACCCATTCCGCAAATTTCATCAAATTCTGGGTGGAGCTGCCCCTTTCTCCAACACTATCCCTCACCATCCTCTTAATCTCCGAACTCCTCTCCTTCAGCTCTACACTCCCAACCAGTCGATCCACCTTCTTCCTAATCTCCTCCTTCGTGACCACCATCATCCCATTCCCGTCTTCTCTCTCAAGCCTCAACCCAACCTTCCAAACGTCGCAGACATAGCTCGCATTCAGAAATTGGTCCGCAAAGTAAGGCCAGCAAAGGAACGGGACTCCATTAGCCAACCCTTCCATGGTGGAATTCCAGCCGCAGTGGCTCACGAAGCAACCCACCGATGGATGCCCCAATACTTTCTCCTGAGGCGCCCAACTGACTATCTTCCCCTGTTTCTTCCCCGGCCCGCCCACTCTGTCCAGAACTGGTTTTATCTCAGGGGTTATGTGGTCGGACCTAACCACCCAGCAAAATGGCCTGTTCGTGAGTTCCAGCCCGAGCGCGAGTTCCTCGAGCTGGGCTGGGTCGAACCGGGTGGTGCTTCCGAATGCAACGTAAATGACCGAATCGGGCGGGTGTTGATCCAACCAATTCAGCAACACTTGATCCTCCTCTCCTTCTAAGCTTCCAAATGATGACGGTATCGATTCGAGCGGGCCGATCGGTAAGAGGGTTTGGATCGAACCGAACGAGCCGGGCTCGATGTCGTGAGCCGAGTTACAGAGCAACCAATCCGCCGACCTCATTGACTCTGTGCTTCTGAGCACCAATTCGAACATGTGCTTCCTAGTATTCTGGTCGCCGAAGCAGTTCCATACGAACTCCGACGGCCTCAGTGCTGGCATTTCCTGAGCGAGTTTGACCGTTTGGTCATCTTTGGTTGGAGCGCCTGTGGAAACAGAGTGATTTGCGAGCAAATTTTGGGTATGTATCTCATGTGATGGACGGTAAGGGGAATGTTTGTAAGAGTGTCATTCTAACCTTGTTGATCGATGATCCCATCTCGAAGGAGCCTCGGGATGCTGAACTGCACGGCCACCATGGCAGCAGCGGCAGGGCAGAACCCGACCCTCCTGATCCCTCTCTTTACTGCGATCTCAAAAGCCCATCCATTGGTCTGGTCGGCAAGTACGCAGGTGATGGCGTCACTTCCCGTGGCGTTCATTTGGTCAATCAGCTCCTCGACTCTACCAGGCATCAACCTCTGCACCGATTGTGTTGACTTGTTGTTGTTCCCTTGGCCTTCAAGGATGTGAAGCATGCGTATGATGGGATTCCCACCGTTGACTTGTTTGGACTGCTGCAAGTTGAGGAATGTGATTCTGAACCCAAATTGGGTCGCCAGGCGGACAGAGAGCTTCATTAGTGGGATTACGTGGCCTTGGGATGGGAATGGGATGACAAGAATGTGTGGAGCTGGTGTGTTTGCCATTGGTGATTGCTCTTCTTTCTTTCTTTCTTTCTTTCTCGCTCTAGAGCAGAGCAGAGCGGCGTGGTTTGTGTATTATGTACAACCAATTGATTGTGCATTATTGGTGTTGGTTTGATATTTGTTGGCTTGCTATTCTATGTTGATGAGGATCTTCGACTTGGAATATTAACCTATTGTCTCGTTGCCCTTTAAAACTGAGTCTAAGACCCATCTGCCCTGCTTTGTATGAGGTGGACCGCATGGCATGATTACATTCTCTTTTGAAGAAGCCCACTGAATATTGGCCCAGTCTTTGGGCTTGAGTCCGTTTTCTGTTTATTTAGAACTCCCTTTCTTTTCTTTTGGTTCCCCGTTTCCTTTCGTCAATGAAATCCTCTATGATTCATAAAAAAATCATCAGGAATATTCACCTGGGAAATCCCAATTAACATCCGCGTGCGTTTGTCAAGATCATCAGGACATGGAGAGAAGTGGTAGAAAAATCGATTAGTTTCCAGAACCAAATCGCCCGACTGACTTATAATTACAAAACTGGCCGCCGTCGCCGCTCGCCGTACCAACGATCAAACCATACCATACCATAGGCCTAAGTCCTAACCACTCACTAGTCACTCCTACATATAGACATATCCTGAAAAACGGTAGCTAGCTAGGAAGTAGGAAGCCGAAAGAAGAATATACTATACATCAACAATATTCAACACTACTACTTAACTTCATCCGCCGGCCGGCCGGCGGCGGATCGAGCTAATCGAGGCAGACGGTCGGTTGGCGGCTGGTGAAGAGAAGGTGGAGGTCGGGAGGGTTGAAGTAACCTTCCTTGGGCACCGTCGGCCTCTTCTTCTTCCCCAGCATAAACGGCGCTCGTTTCTTCCTCGGCGGCGGCGGTGGGCACAGGCGTCCCTGCTCCGGGATACGATCCTCGGCCCGGTCAGGCGTCCGGCATCCCTCGTTCACGTACATCATCCACCCTTCCGATGACGGCGACGACCCTTCTTCCAAATGATGATCCATCTCAAAGTAAAGTAGGAATGAAGGAGAATCTAAGGTTCGGCGGTTTTAGGGAGGGGGTTTATAATATATATATAAAGCCTACCTAATAGATAAGTTGGTAGGAGGCTTCTGGAGTAAGCTGGGGTCTGGGAAACTGCATGTATTGTGTTTTTGTGGTGTACAGAGTTCCAGATGAGCACGGATGTTGGGCCTTCGTGTCCACACCAGGAGATTGTTGGGCCTACGTGGTGCGTGGCTGCGCTGGCCTGTTTTGCAACCCGCCTCACCTCTCCTTTCCAAACTTGAATTCTTGGCGCCAAATCCTCGCCACTACGCCCACCTAGAACCCTCTCGCGCGGGAACTTCTTCTTGTTAACTTTATGGGCCGTTTACTTGTCATTCTATTTCTGTTAGCTGCCACAACAGAAAACAAAATTAAAATGAAAACGAAGCTGTCATTTCCTGGAAAACAAAACCTGAAAAAACCTTGTTTAGCTGAGAATTTTGGTGAGTTCTGAAACTGAGTTCTGAAAATGAAAACCTGTTTAGTTGCTTCATTCTGTTTTCTGATTCTTGATTATCATACAACCCTAGCCATGATTATAATTTTTAATTCGAATTAAATAATTTTTAAACTACAAATAAACACAATACAAGTACAATTGGATAGTAATTAAGTACTAGTACAACATAAAAATGCCTATTGCAAAGATTTTTGAATTTTCCAGGATGGTTACTTGAGCAGTATTTTAAAGGCTCTCGCAATGCGCACTTCCAGTAAAGAGGTTACAGAAGACGAATTGAGAATATTGCAGTCCATTATGATAAAACTTCTTTCTCGTTTGAAGGACTTGGATGAGATTTTTGCTTTGGTATGATATGCACTCTGTTTCCCCACTCATTTGTACTATTCTATTATTATGGTACCAATTGCTAAATGACAATCTTATGTCTGTGGTTTTGTAGTGTTGCTAGTTCAGGGCACAGAAAAAAGTATGATGGTGGAATTCTTGACGTTTATTATTTGTAAATTTGTTGATGCAGAGCCATTTCCTTGACATCTTAATGTGATGTATGGACGCTCCAGGAATGCAGTGAATCTCCATATTATTGACTTTTTTTTTTTTTGACATCTCCATATTCTTGACTTGGCTCCAGGACGTCGTCTCGTTTCCGTCTCGCAGATGATGGCGGCGCGGGGCTGGCTAGAAACCCAGGAAAAGATGGAGGCGGGGCTGGAGAGGTAGAGGAGGAGGACCTCGAACGCGGTGGTTAGCGGCGCGGGGCTGGCGGAGGAAGAAGATGGGGCGGCCGGCGGGGCTATGGGAAGAGTCCAGGACGAGGGGTCGAGCGAGGCAGATTTTTTCTATGGTTGTGGGTGAAAGAGTTCAGTAAAACGGCGCCGTATAGAGCATGGAGGTAAAAGAAAAAAAAATGTGCCCGCGGTGATTCGAACACGGGTTCTCATTAAAAGCCAGCATGCGTTTTCCGCTGGGAAATGGGAGAATAATCCGTCCCCTTGTTTATAGAAAACGGGTATTTATTGTTTATCCACAGCTTTCCCATTTATAACAATTGATTTTTTCCAACGAAAACGAGATCGACAAGTGAACACGTTTTTTGTCATTTGTTTTATGTTTTTTATTTTTTAAACAAAAAATAGAAAACGAAATGGGAAGTGAACAGGGCATCCCGCATTTTGGACTGTCAATTCTTTCTAATTTTATTGCCGGGTAAATTTCAAGGTTGGTGACTTAGATTATTAAAAAGTTCAAGTTTCACCACTAAAAATATTTAATTCCATTGGCCGGGATTTTTCCAAAGAACACTACGACAGCTCCAAAAGACTCGCGCTTACCTACTGACAACCACGCTTTAAATATCACACATGAGTTACCGGACATGCCAGTTTGATGTAGCCCATTTGATACCTTCAACAAATTCTGTCAGAACAGAAGCGTGCAATCGATAATCCAAACCAACACGAACGAACACAAATTTAACGTGGTTCACTAACACAATGTGTGCTAGCCAATCCACGGGTAGGGGAGACCAAATTTCACTGATTTGAGGAGAGTATAGGTTACAAACCAAATTCCGGACGGAAAAACCAAACAAACTAACCTGACTGACCTTTCTACAGACTATGGTGATAAAGAGTATTTATAGAACTCTTCTCCTAATCCCAAACAGAAAACCAAACACCTTTTCCAAACCTACAAGGAAAAGGCCAAAACAAAGCCCAAACACAAACCCAAACAAAATAGGCCCAAAACACAAAACAAACCCAAATCAAATTCAAGTCATATTCTAACAATCTCCACCTTGACTTGAATTCTCTCTCAAGTACCAGACGCAACCAAAGTTGCCAGATGTACCAAACTCCTCCAAATCAGTTGTACCAGAATCTCCTCTGCCTCCAAATGCCCTAAGGGCGGTCAACAACTCAAACCATTCGGCAAGTCCAACCCATCTCAAGCCATTCGCCAAGTTCAACCCATGTCGAGACTTGCCATTCAGAATCAGCTTGGTGCACTTATCACCAACAGAACATGTCAAAACAGAAACTTGTAGACTATACAAGGCACCCCGCTTGACACCTTTCAAAATCACCTTAGAACCCTTGTAGACAGACAACACTCCACCTTCACCGTTGAAACTGAAACCCTTGCTGTCGAATAGACTCAAAGATATCAGATTATTAGTCATCTCTGGAATATGCCTAACATTGGTCAAGGTGCGAACAGAACCATCATGTGTCCTCATCCTAACGGAGCCTCTTCCAACAATCTTACAAATAGCACCATTGGCCATAGAAACATGTCCTCCATCTATATGCTCATAAGTTGAAAAACACTCCCTGCTTGGACACATATGATAATCAGCTGCAGTATCTAAATACCACACATCCTGATGATGTACCTGTTCATTCACTGCTAAGGCTAAACCATCTTCAGAATCAGAGTTAGTTTCTTCCGCCACAGTAGCGGATGATTCCTTCTTCTCCTGATATTTCTTTAGCTTAGGACAATCAAATTTCCAATGTCCTTTCTCCTTGTAGTAATGACAGATATCATCCTTCAAACCAGAAGAATTCGAATTTGTATTCGCCTTCTTATTACCAGATTGTTGTCTCCTACTACTCGTAGCAGCCAACCCAGATGCCTGATTTTCCGAACCCGAACCAGACGCCTTATTTCGAACCTCTCTAGTATGTAGAGCAGATCTGACATATTCCAAAGAGAAACTATCTTTCCCAGCAATAAAAGAATCCACAAAATTCTCATATGATTGTGACAAAGATACTAACAGAATTAAGGCAGCATCCTCATCATCTACTTTAACATCAATATTCCGCAGATCTAACAAGATGGTATTGAGTTGATCTAGATGATTCCTGAGAGACGTACCTTCCTCCATACGCAAACTGAACAAACGTTGCTTCATATGCAACTTGTTAGTTAAAGACTTTGTCATGTATAGACTTTCAAGCTTCAACCACAAGCCCGCAGCGGTCTTCTCAGCAGCAACCTCAGTGATGATGTCATCAGCCAAACAAAGCAAGATTGTAGAGTGAGCTTTCTCCTCCAAAGTAATCCACTCTTCTTCATCTATACTTTCCTTCTTCGATTTTCCAGACAACGGAGCCCACAAACCATGTTGTTTCAATAGTGCTTGCATCTTGATCTACCACAAACTGAAACTGTTCTTCCGGTAAACTTCTCAATCTTCATACTGATAGCAGCCATTCTTACTATCAAACAAACTCCAACCAAACTTCTCACCAAAAAATCGAGACCAAGACACAACTACCCAAAGTCAACTTCAAAGCGATTCCTCCACCGAACCAAGCTGAAGAATTGAAAGCTACCTCCACAAACTCAAAGCAAAACTTCAGTCCAGCGCCATATTCCAAAAACCGCAACCAAAGGCTCTGATACCACTTGTCGAAACCGGGCTGCTCAATTAGTACGATATTGTCCGCTTTGGGCCAAGCACGCACGGATTTACTTTTGGGTTTCCTCCCCAAAAGGCCTCGTACTAATGAGCTTGGTGGACACTAATATACAAGGGTTACTTCCCTTGTATTAATGATGTGGTACTTGGATTGTCCCATAACAATCCTCCCCTCAGGACAAGGACCACGAACTTCGTGTCCTCTCCTCAGAGATTATCTTGATCCGTCAGACGCCTTGTATCGATGGGCTTCTCGCCGGTACAAGGACTTTATCAGACGCAGAACTCTCTTTGATCTGCTTCTCAGATGCGGAACTCTCTTTGATCCGCCAAGCCCAAACCAGATGCGAATCTCAAATCCCGATGTCACCGAACGAGGGTCCACTAAACTGACGTCCACCGCCCCAGATCCGCCGAAGCAGGGATACCACTTGTCAGAACAGAAGCGTGCAATCGATAATCCAAACCAACATGAACGAACACAAATTTAATGTGGTTCACTAACACAATGTGTGCTAGCTAATCCACGGGTAGGGGAGAACAAATTTCACTGATTTGAGGAGAGTACATGTTACAAACCAAATTCCGGACGGACAAACCAAACAAACTAACCTGACTGACCTTTCTATAGACTATGGTAATAAAGAGTATTTATAGAACTCTTCTCCTAATCCCAAACAGAAAACCAAACACCTTTTCCAAACCTACAAGGAAAAGGCCAAAACAAAGCCCAAACACAAACCCAAACAAAATAGGCCCAAAACACAAAACAAACCCAAATCAAATTCAAGTCATATTCTAGCAAATTCAACTCTGCATTGTTCACAAAACTTTGGGTTTTCTTTTTCATCTCCGATTACTCGATAATTCCCACAAGCACAAATTCCACTTTTTACCCTTTGCGAACAACTTGATGCACTATCTCCCTTCAACCCTTTAGCGAAATGCTTTAGATAATCGAAAACAGAGGATTTTGAATACTATTCGTAATTCGGAAGAATTACAGGGGGGGGGCAATCGAGCAGCTGGAAAAAGCCCGGGCCCGCTTATTACGCTCGTTGGGTTCTGGTCTTGTTACTTTATTTTTCGGAGTCATTTGATCCCTTGATAAAGTCCTAACTAGAAATATCTTAAGAGAAGTCATTTGCATTGGATCTTAAAATTTTAAATTGGATTTGATTAAAGCAAGGATAAGGGATTTCTTAGGTTATTAAATAATACATAGTGAGGTTGATTTTTAGAAACCCATCCTCCGAAGGAATCGGACATGATAATTTTTCACCATCCGGCTCGAGCAAGAATCAAGCAAAAGGAGGAATCCGCCCGAGGAGGGGCTCGCGTCTGATTAGCTAGTTGGTGAGGTAATAGCTTACCAAGGCGATGATCAGTAGCTGGTCCGAGAGGATGATCAGCCACACTGGGACTGAGACACGGCCCAGACTCCTACGGGAGGCAGCAGTGGGGAATTTTCCGCAATGGGCGAAAGCCTGACGGAGCAATGCCGCGTGGAGGTAGAAGGCCCACGAGTCATTTTTCACCCGAAGAACTAATTGGATTATTGCGAGCGGAACAAATAGGGTGCGCTTTGGAAGAAACAATCGGTTACGGAGCCATATTATTAGGAATAACGCGATGAATCATTTCTTCGGACAGAAGAAGATTATGTAAAACTTACTTGAAATCTCACTTATCAGATTCCATTGTGGAAGACGCGGGAAAGATTCGAAATTGTGAAGGCTAGCCTTTCGCTATGAAAGGTGGGCAGCTCGTCGATTGACTAGAAATGCTTCAATCGCCAGTCTCGAAAAGGTCAAATCCCAGGGCTCAACCCTGGACAGGCGGTGGAAACTGCCAAGCTGGAGTACGGTAGGGGCAGAGGGAATTTCCGGTGGAGCGGTGAAATGCGTAGAGATCGGAAAGAACACGAACGACGTTTGTTACATGGGTCGTGAGTGGGAACTTAGTTTCCGTCTGGGTATGAGCCCTTGGATTGCTGTTGCATATTTAGCTCCTGTTGCAGATGCTACTGCTGTTTTCTTAATCTATCGAATCGGTCAAGCCCGAATTGGATCCCAAATTGACGGGCTAGTGTGAGTGATGACTCGGTATTTGCACATGTTTTCCCCTTTTGTTTCTTGATTGTTTGAGCTTGAATTACCGTGTCTTTGACCGATTTTACGCTAGGTTGTGTTCCTTTGTCACATTTCAGGTCCTAGCACATAAAGTGAAGCATAGGCGCAAGTTTCAAGTCAATCAGAGATCAATTGACGATTTGGGAGAAGACACTCGGGCATGACCTGAAGAAGAATGGATTTCTACCTCACTTTATGGACAGAGAATCATGCAAGCTTGTTATGAAACGAAAGAGGACGAGACTACGAGCGTCTGGGATCAAACGGCGACTGATTCGGAGTCCGGACGAGGGAGAGACGAAGCATTAAACAGAGGCTGAGCAAGCTGCACGGGCAGACCAGGGAGACGCACGGCCGTGCAACATACAATTTTGGCCGTGCGGGTTGGTGCGTGGGCACGCACGGGCACAAGTGAAATCCGCACGGCCGTGCAAGGTGCAATCCTGGCCGTGCGAGTTGGTTGAGGTTCGACTTAATGAAACGGCGCGTTTTGAGGTGCACGGCCAGAATGGTGATGTGCATGGCCGTGCACCCTGGCCGTGCGAGTCGGGAATTGTTGTTTAAAACCCGATTTTCAGCGAAAGGAAGGGAGGAGAGCTGGTTTTTGGATCCCAAACACCCAAGGGACGAACCCTAGAGAGAGAGAGAGCGACTTGGGAACATTCTTGGAGCTATTTTGGAGGATTTCTTCGCCATTGGAGCTCGGGAATCAAGCTTGGAGATGGAGATTGAAGATCTAGATCAGATTTCTGCAGTCTCTCTCTTCTCTATGGAGTAACTTCCCTTCACTTAGGTTTTGAGGAACCCTAGTTCCATGAGTTAGGATCTTTCTTGTATGAAGTTTTGGATGCTTTATTGTTTGATTATAATCGATTGAGGCATGATTTATTGAGTCAATTGAATCTTGATCAAATTCTCTTGATTTCTGCTTTAACCTATGATAGATAGAATCTGGTTAGGTTAAGAGAGCTTCCTTGATTGATAGTGGTGAATTGGTTGTGAGAGAGTCAATCAATTTACTGCTTTGTACTGGAATTCATTCCAGTAGTGGAGATCTGTGTGAATCGCCTTAGCAGTCTATCCCGGTGAAGGCTAGTCGTCTGTCGGGTATTCTGTTTGAGAGGGCTTGGTCAGCTTAAGAGATTCCAAGCTAATTTCGGATCTTCCGCAGTTTAATCAACAGTAGATCAACCAAAGGTAATTGCAACTTGGACCTAATTGAGGAGCTAGGGGGAATCATACCTAAGTGAGTTCCCAACTTGTAATTAGTAGAGTAGTTTAGTAAATCAATCCTTAATCTAGTTTGCTAGATAATGAACTGAAGCTGAGTAATAGTAACTCTAGAGACCCGTGGATTCGATATTTATTACTTGTGCCACTATACTGCAGTCCCTTTCATTGGTTACACTTGGCCATTGTTAGGTGTTGTGTTTTAGCGTGTCAAGTTTTTGGCGCCGTTGCCGGGGACTTTCTAGATTATTAGGAAAGGCAGAAGTTTGTTACTTTAGCTTTTTTTTTCTTTCTTTTCTTTTCCACCCTTGCTTTTCACTTGGGTTTTTTTGTTTGTGTTGGTGCAGATCTGAATCATGGATCCTCATGGCTTCTCTAATCATTGGGGGTATCCACCACCGTCCGAGTGGTATTACCCCGAGACCCCCTGGAGCAATCAAGGAGGAGAAGACTATGGATCCGGGTTCCAGTACCAACCCCCTTTCTATGGAGAACAATCAGACCCCTGGGTATTTCAAGAACAATCTCCTTATCAAGAAGAATTCCTCCATCAGCCAGATCCAAACTATCACTTGAGGCTTCTCGTGGACCAGATTGCTCGAGTACCTGAGACATCCTTTCCAAAGATGGATATCCCAGACAATGCCCAAACTGGGTTCTCCTACCGTGAAACAGAGGAGACCCTCCTGAGCATAAAGAAGAGCCTCGAGGATCTTGAGAAAACTTATGCACAACCTGCTCAAGATCACCCTTCTGCTATCATACTAGAAGAGGAGGAGGGTGACAAAGGCTATGGGGATGTTGAGGAGCATACAGAAGTTATCACAGAGAACTCCCATGATAATCATGATCAGGAAAGTCCTCTGGTTGCAGATCACACAATTCCTTATTTCTGCTCTAACATGCTGGGCCCGATCGAGGAGATGCACGATGAGCTCATTGAAGAAATTGCATGGCGACTTGCTCTCCAATCTGTGCTAGAAGAAGAAGAGCAAGAAAGGGTGCAGAAAGAAGTTGTGGAGGATGAGGAAGAAAGCAAAGAAGAGGAAGTTCTCGATCATTTCCCAGGGGTGATACCACTTGAAGAAGGAAGGGGGGTTGAGGAAGCAATTGGCGTCCAGGCTGAGGATGAAGTTGCGGTGGAAGAGGCCTGCACCGGCCATGAGTTACATGTGATATCTCCACCAAACTTCGAGGAGCTGCTTGGCAAGGACCCATTTGCAGTGTCTCTTTGCCAGACCAAGGCCACATCGACATCGGTCCCTCTTGGTGGACGCGATGGTGGCCAATCGATGCTGTCTTATCTGGTTTGGGGCAATGAGACGAGAGAAGAGAAGAAGAGGTCTCGAGGGTGGAGACTTCATCTGCGTCAAGTGCACGAGCTTCCATCACCAGTCATACCACATGCTCGTGACTTGCGACTCCACCTCATAGATGAGAACCTCAACTTCAAGGAGGTTCTAGCATGGACCGAAACTTAGGAGCCATCGTTCGGCTCACGACGTGAAAGAAGCGCTTGTTGGGAGGCAACCCAACCAGTCGGTTTGCATTTCTTTCTCTATTTCTCCTCGGTTGAGTCAGTTTTGTTATTTGGTTTTAGAGTCAATAGCTCAACCTTTGTGAGATTTTGTGTGGTGTTTGTGTTCTGATTACTCTCTCTTCCTGGAATGCACCGCCTGCCCCGTCCATCATCATTCACCCTTGATCTGGTAACTTCGTTCTACCCTCCTTATCTTTCCTCCATTGAGGACAATGTCGTGCTTAAGTGTGGGGGGGGGGGGTGTTCGATTATGTATGCGGGTGAATGTTTGGCTGTTTGTGTGCTTGGAGCCTAGTCCACTGTCCAAATTTTTAAATTTGAGGGCTCCAAGTACGTGTTCCTTGCAATTACCTGCTCAGTATGCTTTGAATTGACAGTCTCTGTAGTGGTTTGCAACCTAGGGAGGTAGTGTAGCACTATGGAGGATGTTGATGCATTTAAGAAGTCTCATTTCTTCTTCATAGTGTGTTGGTTGATTGAGTGAATTAGTGATCTTAGGACCCTTGAATTGTGTGGTGTTGTGGACTCTCTGCTTGTCATGGACTCTTGTATCATGTTTTGAAATAACAGGTGCTCGAAAATGCGCTTTAAAATGACGTCTCCCGTGCGAATAGGGCGAAAGTGTGTAAGGGGAGACGGGAATCCGTTCCCAATTTCCACCTACTACCTCCAGCCCCCTTACATGTCTTTCCCCCGCACGAGGCTCGAGACAACTGCTCCTGGCATGGCCGGTAAGAGCCGGGCTCCCGCAAAACCTTTGCTAGGTGGGAGCCCCCGTTTTCTACAAAAACAGGTTGGAACCCTTGAAAAAAAAAAGAGAAAAACAGAAAAACAAGCAAAAAGAAGAAAGAAAAGGGGGTTCCAACCATCTCCAAAAAGAAAATCGAGCACCTTGAAAAATGTGAGTCCATGATCTTTTGTTTTTGAGAGTCTCTTCATCCACGATTCATTTGTCCTCTGTTCACTATTTGCCATGATGCCGACTCGAGACTAGCGTTCTCGCCGAAGAGGCTATGAGATGACTTGTGCGTCGGTTGACCTCGTAAGCTGCTAAATGATCTAGGAAGTCTGCTACCTACGATCGAGGTTGTTTGTTGCTATAGAGGTCTGGAGAGTTGCATTGGTTTGAGTTAGGTTTGCTTGGGGACAAGCAAACAGTTAAGTGTGGGGGGATTTGATGACTCGGTATTTGCACATGTTTTCCCCTTTTGTTTCTTGATTGTTTGAGCTTGAATTACCGTGTCTTTGACCGATTTTACGCTAGGTTGTATTCCTTTGTCACATTTCAGGTCCTAGCACATAAAGTGAAGCATAGGCGCAAGTTTCAAGTCAATCAGAGATCAATTGACGATTTGGGAGAAGACACTCGGGCATGACCGGAAGAAGAATGGATTTCTACCTCACTTTATGGACAGAGAATCATGCAAGCTTGTTATGAAACGAAAGAGGACGAGACTACGAGCGTCTGGGATCAAACGGCGACTGATTCGGAGTCCGGCCGAGGGAGAAACGAAGCATTAAACAGAGGCTGAGCAAGCTGCACGGGCAGACCAGGGAGACGCACGGCCGTGCAACATACAATTTTGGCCGTGCGGGTTGGTGCGTGGGCACGCACGGGCACAAGTGAAATCCGCACGGCCGTGCAAGGTGCAATCCTGGCCGTGCGAGTTGGTTGAGGTTCGACTTAATGAAACGGCGCGTTTTGAGGTGCACGGCCAGAATGGTGATGTGCATGGCCGTGCACCCTGGCCGTGCGAGTCGGGAATTGTTGTTTAAAACCCGATTTTCAGCGAAAGGAAGGGAGGAGAGCTGGGTTTTGGATCCCAAACACCCAAGGGACGAACCCTAGAGAGAGAGAGCGACTTGGGAACATTCTTGGAGCTATTTTGGAGGATTTCTTCGCCATTGGAGCTCGGGAATCAAGCTTGGAGATGGAGATTGAAGATCTAGATCAGATTTCTGCAGTCTCTCTCTTCTCTATGGAGTAACTTCCCTTCACTTAGGTTTTGAGGAACCCTAGTTCCATGAGTTAGGATCTTTCTTGTATGAAGTTTTGGATGCTTTATTGTTTGATTATAATCGATTGAGGCATGATTTATTGAGTCAATTGAATCTTGATCAAATTCTCTTGATTTCTGTTTTAACCTATGATAGATAGAATCTGATTAGGTTAAGAGAGCTTCCTTGATTGATAGTGGTGAATTGGTTGTGCGAGAGTCAATCAATTTACTGCTTTGTACTGGAATTCATTCCAGTAGTGGAGATCTGTGTGAATCGCCTTAGCAGTCTATCCCGGTGAAGGCTAGTCGTCTGTCGGGTATTCTGTTTGAGAGGGCTTGGTCAGCTTAAGAGATTCCAAGCTAATTTCGGATCTTCCGCAGTTTAATCAACAGTAGATCAACCAAAGGTAATTGCAACTTGGACCTAATTGAGGAGCTAGGGGGAATCATACCTAAGTGAGTTCCCAACTTGTAATTAGTAGAGTAGTTAGTAGAGTAGTTTAGTAAATCAATCCTTAATCTAGTTTGCTAGATAATGAACTGAAGCTGAGTAATAGTAACTCTAGAGACCCGTGGATTCGATATTTATTACTTGTGCCACTATACTGCAGTCCCTTTCATTGGTTACACTTGGCCATTGTTAGGTGTTGTGTTTTAGTGTGTCAGTGAGCTTATCCATGCGGTTATGCACTTTTCGAATCGGAATCCATTTTCTGAAAGATCCTAGCTTTCGCTTGGTTGAAGAAACCCTCTACTTCAATTGGTATTTTTTCACGAAAAGCAAACATGAGATAACAAATCCAGTCTTTCACTAAGATTTCGAATAGTTGTCCCGAATTCAAGTTGATTTCGGAGAAAGACGATCAAACAATTCCCAATCATGGTCCTTGCAGATCAGATCATCCATAAAATATACAAAAAGAAACTCCAGATATTTTATATCTTTCTCTTTGAATGAGGGTCAAACAACTATTCAAAGTTCCTAAAGCTCCTTGTAAGGCTTGTTGGAGAACCTGTTGGCGAACTTGAGTAATTGTTCTTTGCGGGAAAAATATAAACTTCCTCGGGAATGATAAAAAAGCCATCTATTTTCATTTGGTATTTTGGCTTAAATTCTTTGATTCCTCGATACTCAATCAAATCTTCTTTTTTTTTGTTTATGATTGAATGTACATCTAAAGCTCCGGGAAAAGCATGAAAAAAAGGCTCGAATGGTACGATCCCTCCGTCGCCCCAGAATGAAAGGGGCGATCTCGTAGTTCTTGGTCTGTGAAGATACGTTGTTAGGTGCTCCATTTTATTTTCCCATTGAGGCCGAACCTAAACCTGTGCTCGAGAGATAGCAGTCCATACACTGATAAGGGATGTATGGATTCTCGAGAAGAGAGGAGCCGTGGTGGTCCCTCCCGGACCGAAGTTAGACGTTTGGTCACCACTTTGCGGAAAATCATTAGGTATGAATATGTTAAATACCTGTGGCTCGATTGGTGAAATAGTATCTCTCTCCAAAAATGCATGTTTTTTTTACCGCCGCACAAAGAAAAGATTTTGTTGCGAAATTTACCAGCTACCTGTTTCATTGCTTTAATTTGAGCTGCGGATCCGACTCGGGAGACTGAAATACCCACATTAATAGCAGGCCGGATTCCAGCATTGAATAGATTAGCGGATGAGAAAATTTGTCGAGTTGTTTTTTTTCAAGAATAGGCTGGATTGAACCTGCTGTACTTTTTTGCTTTAATTAGATTAATTGAAAAAGAGTGCATGATCCTGCGAATTACCAAAAAGAGCCAGCTATATTAGAGTTATTTTGTTGGAGTTGAGTCGTATAGCTTCTCATCTGTTATGGCTTGGCCCTTTTATGGCGGCAAAAAGGGATTCAAAGGTGCTTGTTAATGAAGTTGAAGTTACCAAATTTTGAGGGGTCGGTATCAATTTATGCCGCGGGACCGTTTCGTTTTTGTAGGTTGGTCCGGTCTATTGCTATTTCCTTGTGCCTATTTCGCTGTAGGGGGCTGTCCTTATATATCGTATTAACAATCGAATGATAATCGAAAGAAAAAATCTCTATTTGATAGGACTTCTTCCTATGCCTATGAATTCCATTGGACCCAGAAATGATACATTAGAAGAATCTTTTGGGGGTTCCAATATCAATAGGTTGATTGTTTCGCTCCTGTATCTTCCAAAAGGAAAAAAGAGCGTACAACTCTCCGTTGTACTGCCCTCTCCAAGTGTGCGTGTTCCCCCCTTCTTCCTTACCATGAGAATTTTGAAATAACTTCGATGCGAAGAAAAAAGAATGCGTTAAGAGACCCTCCTGGCCCTAGTTAAATTCCGTAGGTGGTGTAGCTACTGAGATCAATGCAGTGAATTATGTCTCTCCGAGAAGTTGGTTAGCTACCTCTCATTTTGTTCTCGGGTTCTTCCTATTCGTGGGTCATTTATGGCACGCGGGAAGAGCTCGGGCGGCCGCAGCAGGATTTGAAAAAGGAATTGATCGTGATTTTGAACCTGTTCTTTCCATGACCCCTCTTAATTGATGATAAAAAGCTTAACACCCCTCATTCTTATTACTTTTTCAATATGACAGAAATGAAAAGGTCCTCTTATTTAAAACCCTAATTATGAAATCCCTTCTCTCCCACTTCACACCGCGGAACGCACCGTTCTTATAGAGAGAGAGGCACTTTCGGTTAAATCTGACAACGGTCCTATAATCAGTATCACACGACGGGCTATTAGCTCAGTGGTAGAGCACGCCCCTGATAATTGCGTGGTGAGTTACAAATGGAGCACAAATACATATTTGAGAACGACATGTTGTTAACTGAATTCTGACCTCTCTAATATAGCCGGAACTTTATATACTCCTTTGAAATACAACCTTAAAAAGCGAGAGCAACATCTTAAATGATTTGGTACAAGGAACTTCCCCCATATGTGGCCTCTTTAAAACAGATTAAACCTCGCGAGATTGTCTGGCATGATTGACTTAGTCTAAAGTGGGAGTTTATAGTGTGGAGTGCTCAAACTGTGTGGTTGGTTTGATTGTCATGATTATATCTTACCTACCGTTGGTTGCTTATGCTTCCTTAATGACCAATTAAGTCAAACTAATCTTCATTGACCAAATCATTACTAGTTGTTGCTACATCTGTATGATAACTTACTTCGATCTATCTTTAGTTAACTGCTACTAAGTCGATTAATCATTGATTACATAATGCTTAGTGCACCCAAGGAAGCCTACTAGAAGGCTTTTTTTTTGCCACTAGATTCCTCTGAAAAAGAGGGAGAACAATGTTCACAGATACAAAGAACCTATATGCTACGTAACCAAGCAACAATGTCGAACCTCAGTAATAACCGAGGCGACAAAACCAGAGCATGTCTTGCTACCGAATGAGCTACTATGTTATTTAGTCTACCAACAAAGAGAATCGAGGCGGAATGAAGATCGCGAAGCAGCATAGCAATCTCTTGAATAAGAATCCCTCTTTTGGCGTCACAAGTCTGTCTTGCATGACATTTCTCAATAAGAACTTTAGCATCACCTTGAATGCAAACACTTATGAGGCGAAGTTGAGAGCAGCGAAGAAGACAATCACGCAAAGCTAGTGCCTATAGGATATATGGATCACTACACCCTTCATAAACATTTGCCTTTGCTGCAAGGATCTCACCAGACACTCGTCGAAGAATAAAAGCTGTCGAACCAGACCCCCCCGGCCGAGTACCTGCATCAAATGAGTCCACATAATTCGCATTGGAACGATCATTACTAATTGGGGTTTGCAACGGAGCAGGTCCGATGTCATTAATGGCTTGCGGGAGAGCATTATCATTCTCTTGGACTTGGTGTTTCCACTGGGCAGCAAGAGCCTCCACTCAAACCTGCTTGAATGCAAAACAAACAGTACATCGATTTTTCCAGATGCGCCAAAGAAGGAAAATAACCTACAACAGGAGGTAATCCAAATCCTGTCCCTCTTCCTTGTATAATGAGAATCGAAGGAATCCAATAAAAGATCCCTTGTTCCAACGACCCAAGTGCCGATGCATACCCACCATCCTACATAATCTTCTTGCATCCGTACACCTGAAAATAAGTGTTCGTTAGTTTCTTCTTTCCGAACACAAACAAGGAAAATAGGAATGATGTCCATCCCTCACGTTACTAATGTTAGCGGATTATGAAGGCCAATTTATTGTCTTCATTTTATTGTACATTTGTAGTCCATGTATTAGCCCTTTATTGTAACCCATGAAGCCCATGCAAGGGTCACTCACGTGTTGAGTGAGAGTGTGCCCTAGGGTTCGGTTTTTCAGCTTCTTCCTCTTCGTATTTAAGGACTGAGGTATGCGGTGATGGCTGTACAAAAAACATAAGAATAACATCAATAGCTCGAAGGGTTTTCACTCTTCCGTGGATTAGTCCTGGATATTCCAGGGATACCACGTAAATCGGTTGTCTGTCTCGTGATTCTCATTTTCAATTATGTCTATACCATCTGTCAAATTCCCTTAAACTATCATGGTATTAGAGCCGCTCTCGCCAATGGACCCTGAGAGGCCTCCTGTTCGACTGACATCAACAAACTTCGCTCTCTAGGAATTCCAATTCCGTATTTTCGTTGAAGGACGCGGTCTCCTGAATATTCTTAATGGAACACGTCCTCGACCTCTTCCTGCTACCTTTAATCAAGAAATCGCCCAATGGAATCAGAGTGATACTCGGGTTCGGTCTTGGTTATTGGGATCTGTTGATCCCTCCACATGTCTAAGACTCCGCCTCTTCTCGATTGCCAACACGAAGTGGCACCATCTGGCGGCGACGTTTTCTATAGTCAACATCGCCCGACAGTTCGAACTACAACTCTCCATGGCTCGCCTGGAGCAAGGAGATCGGACTATCACCAGATACTACAAAGCCGCCTAGGAACTATGGACGGAACAAAATATTTTGGCTGCAGCTCTTCATCCCCAGCCTGTCTCTGCAAACGCGATCAAGGAGCGCCAACAAACCCGGTTGCTCAATTTTCTTATGCATCTATGGCCAGAGTTTGAGGTCGTTGAATCAACGTTGCTGAATAAGGAGGATTTGCATTTTGAAGGCCTGCTGTCTCATTTGGTTCGTGAGGAGACCAGGATACGTACTCAGGCCAATTTGGATATTCGCCCTGGCATTGGCAAAACTGTGTTAGCTGTCGCGGGATAAGATTCGGCCTTCTCGGTAAATCATCCCTCATTTAATAATCATTTTGTTGCTACTGATATTGAATGCCACTTTTGTCATGAGAGGGGTCATCCTAAGAAGCACTATCACGGTGGAATTATTGCATTTATTGTAAAAGAACTGGACATATTATCCTAGAGTGTCAAACTCGGCAACTTAATGATGC